CGGCACCCCCCCCCGCCCGCGGCAGCCCGCTCCGTCCCCTGCGGGACGCTCTCGGGCGCGCTCCTATCCCACCTCTGAGGCCGGGCGGCCAAACGGGTGGCAGGAATAATCCTGCCAAAAGCAACCCCTCACAGGGTTGTTTTCCATTTGGATGAGATCTGCGGTCTGGGTGCCTGCCCAGGGCCCACGAACGCAGCTGCGTGGGAGAGGTGGAGGCGAGGGGGGCCGCGGTTCCCTGTGCCCACCACGGACGTGGCTTCGCGGGCCTTCTAAGCCAGCCCGAGTCCGGGAGGTCTCCTCACCCCTTGGCCGGGCTGTAGTCCTGCCTCACGCATTGCTGCCCCCTCCCCTGTGTCCGCACCTCCCCGCCTGCACCCTGAGCACAACACACTTGAATTCGAGATCCTTTAAACGATGTCGGATGGGGAACTCGTGAATCCTGTGGCAAGGGAAAGGTGCATTATCTACTGCCTATGGAATAAAAAGTGTAATTTTAGCTCAGCTATCTCCTATGCACGTGCTTTGGGCAAGAAACATAGGTGCCTTGGTGTGAGCAAGTGCAGGTCTCCCTCCCCTGAGATAACAGGACAGGATTGCCTCTTGGCAAGGAAGGATTTTCCCTTGTTTACTGTCTAAGGGTTAATGCATTTCACTGGTATAGACACTGCCCTTGCAGAAATGACTTTGTAAGCAAATAAAAGAATTCAGCAAATGCAAAAATAGCTGCAGCTAACAAAGAGGCTGGAAACAGCTTAAAACGCAGACTTCAAGGCCAAGCTAGGAAACGGCAATGAAAGTGTACCTGTTTTCAAAGATGAGTGTAGATGCTTTGATTTCTTTTTTTTTTTTTCTGAAGATACTAATGGAAGGGGAAAAGCATTTTCTACCCAACAGGTCTGCATGGCTTAGTGAGGAATGGTGTTTTGAGTAATTTTTATTGCCCTAACTAAAAGCAGCTTGGAAGTCTCTGAGCAGTCTTTAGAGCATGATTGTCCCTCTCCAAAAGCCCCCATAAAATGAGTCTCTGTTTAAACTTAGAGGAAGCCCTTGAGACCATTAGCTCTGCTTAAGAACTGCAATCCTAATCTATTAAGACAAGAATAAATGAAGCTTATTTTGGGAAGAGGGAAGTGGGAGCCACCCCAAACACCAGAGAGCTACAGCAAACGGAGAATGAAGAAGATGTGTTAAGTCTGGTTTTGGTTTTTATTTCTTTTGTCTCATGTACCTTCTAATTCAAAGTGAAATTCAACAGTCTTTTGTACTTGCCAGTTGGCTCTTGCCTCCGTATCTAACAAATTTAGACAAGAGAAGACCCTTATGAAAATAAGTCTTGTATTCCCCAGCAAAACTTTTTAAAAGGCGTGGAAAATGATGGAGTTTTGGAAAGAACTACAGGAGTCAAAGCCTATAGAACAGGCCTTAAATGAGCGATAGTGAAATGTAACGATTGTAGTTTCTCCAGGAAAAGGTTAAATATAATTGGTTATCATCCAAAGCTACCTCAGAGAAGAGGGTGGATAGCAGATGACTTTTATTTAGTAGACTTGGACAAGAAACAATGCAGAAGAGCTGATCCAGAAGCCTTGCAAATTCTCCCTGACTCAAAGTCCCAGTGTCCTGAAAGCTGGTGGGTGCCAGACCTTGGATTAGCAAAAATGCCAGCAGAGTCAGCAACCCCAGCACGCAGTGCTGAGGACGGCATTTGCCCAGGCCAGGAAACACGGTGACTGATTGTCACTTCTTCGCATCATAGTACGGTGCCTCTGCCCTTCAGGGACAAGCAGCATCCCCCAGAGACGTGTGACAAATCACTTGCATTGCACACCAGCAGTGAGAGTCTGAACAGATAATAATAGCTACAAATGAAATCCCTTCTCCCTCTGCAGCTCTCCAACTAGTGTATTTTGCATTAGAGCTTTTTTTTTTTTCTCAGAGAATTGTTAATTTGCTAAAAATGGACTTTCAGCCATTCCTAAAATATTTAGAAAGTATTGGTATAACGTCAGCAGAATATACTGCGGGGCTGTGCCGTACCTGTGGCTCCCGATAGTTCATAGCACTCGGGGGATGTGGGAGGTCCAGGCACCTCCTCTCCTTTGCCTTCGTGGACTCAAGCCTGCAGCAAGGATAGCTGAATGTAATTCCTGCTTCAGGGAATGTTTGTTTATCCCTAACTGAAAATGCCAACAAAAGAGATGACTGGAAGTACCTGTTCCCTTCTCCTGCCCCCTGCTCCTCCTCACCCACAAAATGGGACCTGGGAGGTTTAAATACCCCGAAGCAGATATTGGAGGTGAAGCTAGGTTTTCACAGCCTGGATGAGACACGACAGTCTCTCTGGTGATAAGACCTGGCTGTTCAATTTGCTTTTGCGTATGCCAAACATGAGACCATTTAAAGCAAGAAGGGACAGCTGAGCAAAACCAGAGACCAATGGAAGACATCATTTTCCTTGCCCTAGTAAACCTCAGCTTTGGTCTTATGGTAACCGAGAGGCTGATAGCCTAATCCTTTCCAAACCAAGATATGGAGGAAACCAATATATGCAGAATCAGGTTAAATGCTAACACTTAGAAACTCTTTCTTCACCTGTAGCCTTCCTTCTAGCTGGGCCTGGGCCAAGGCATGCATTATAGTGGGCGACTTCAATCTTGGGCCTTGCCCTTCAGCATTCAATGGATGTTGATTGCTTCCCCAGTGCAATGTTAGCATACACTGTAGTAGCTTCTGATTAAAAAGCAGCGATCAATTAAAACTCTGATGTGAGCTGTTGTTGGAACCAAGTTTGTTAGCCAAGTTACTGCTTTATATTAAAAACTAGAACAAATGCATATAGGTACAAATGTGATATGGAAATAATTGAATCTGAAAAATGTTCCACTCTTTAGAGGTGTAGTGGGAGGTTACAGCGCAACAGGCCAAGGACTGTGCTTGGATTCAAATGCAGTGCAAATAGCTGGCTGGGTGGTGGCTATTTCTAAAATGCATTGGAATTACTGGAATATTCTTTTAAGACTGTTGCTAGGAAGGTTGGGTTTGTTAGTCTGTCCACAGAGCAAAAGCATCACCAGGCAAAGTCAAAGTTTTTTCCATTCCATTGAGGTCCGAAATGGACTTGTATTTCACACAAGCAAGATTAACATCACTGCTTAATATCCCTGGTGGGCTTCTGGTTGGGTCACGTAAACAAATTCATTTTGTGTAAAAGTTTGAATGATATTTCTATTTCTTTATATTATATTCAGTTAAATTAATCCGAATGGAAGTGCTACTAGAACGCTGGGGAGTTGCCTGCTCGTAGTTCAGGCCACAACGTTTTGGCCTGAATGGAATAATTAAAATCATACCCAAAAGTGGTATGGAAAACTGCAGTTATTGAATTGCACTAGGCACAGTGTCCTTGTTTTAGTGGGCAGAGAAAATCCTGTCTCTTCAGCTGGATTTTCTTTCTCCTAAAGGACCAACTTCATTTCATCTTTAACTATTGCTAACATCCCTGCTCTTTTTGATCCTGCCACACATATGTAGAACAGTGCATCTCTTTCATTAACCCAGTCAAGGAAAGCCATAAAGATCCAATTACAAAGCGACATGGAGACAGTAAAAGCACTACCTTCTGGCATGCCTTGAAGACTTTGAAAGATAACACAGAATGCTAAACTTTTTCCTCGTCTTCCAAAAAAATTTAACACGAACATTTTCACCTACAAAAATTAAAACATCTTTGAATCAGCTGGTTAGTTCACAGTATGCAGCTCAAGCGTGCTACAAATAACTAGAATTGAACAGGAAGAAAAATGAGGCAATGTTTGAGAAGGGAGTTGAGAAATTAAGTTTAGAGCTTTGCCAAGGATCAGATTTGGAGAAAAGATCTGTCGTGTATTACAGTTTGAGAATCTGACTAGTTTGTATCAACAGCCTACAGAATCTCCTACCTCACTTCTACTGTATTTATTCGAGCAAGAAACACAGTAATTCTCAATTTCTGCTGTCTCTGCTAGAGTAGGCTCATATTCATTTTACGTTCATTTTTATTCAAGCTAATTTGCAAACTTGTTTCAAATTCATTTTAGAAACAAAAAAATTCTTCTTGTGCAATAGGAAGCCGTCTTTGGATATGCACAATCATATTGCCTGCCAAATCCAAAGAGAAGCAGATGGAGAAAAATTAATCCCCATGCTCAGATCCACAATGTTCTTTAACATTTAACCCCTATGCTATAAATAGAACAACACATTTTAATCCTTCTTTTAGTTGTCCCTAACTGTTGAGACGGATCCAGAAGAAATCTATTCTGCATCACTCACAAGCTCAAAGCAGTGTCGAATAAAACATTACTAACCCCCTTCTCCCTGGAGCTGCCTTTCTGCTGTACCAGAGAGGAAACTGGCCCATCTTCCCTGTAGCCTCTCTTTCAGAAGGCAGGGCATGCCAAAAGTAAATTAGTCATATCCTGAAGTTTTGAAAAGAAAAGCATCCACGCAAGTGTGCTGTAAGATGGAATTCAGTATGTTTATTTGTAAAAAACGTATCTTCCTATAATGATTTTTTTGATCTGGCTTTTGAACTGACAGTTTAATAGCACAGAACATGCTCAATGGGCTTCTAAAATAAACATATCTTCAAATCTCCCAATTTTTCTCTTGCACAGAAGAAAAATAATCAACAGAGTTTAAATCTGAACTTACAGGCTGCCAAGATTGGAGTTATTTGTTCCTCATTCCAAATTGCTCTTTTCAGTGTAATTTCTGAATTGCCTCATTTACCCTAAAAAGAATTAAGCCTCTCGCTTCTTTTAGAAATGTATCCAAACAGCTCAAAGAACTGTTCAGATGGATTCCTTTGACATATCTTCTTCCCTCGAATTGAGCTTGTCACCAATTAACACAACAATTAGCATTTGCGTAGCTATAGGTACTGCTAGCTAGGACTTCAAATGTCACAGGCCTTAGAAGGGTAATAGTTCACAGTTAAAAATCAGCTAATTCAGAAAATCTTCTGAGGATAGTTTGCGTTCAGATCACAACAGAGGATTTCCAAAGTACTGTAAATAGTTAACCTAAAAATGTCCATCGTCACTGAGAATTTCACAGATAGTTTCAGACTAAAGCAAAATTTCTGTTGTCAGCATTTCTGTACACTAAATTAAATACACACTATCACAAGAAGGCAGCTTTAAAGTCATACATAAGACAAGTAAAGGTATGTTTCATGTATGTGATTACTTGTTGCAAAAGAGCAGCTTCCCCTTTGAAATTACCCGTAACCAAGAAAGGTCAAGAGATGAGCTGATGTGGAAACTTAAGAGTGAGACACTGGTAAAAGGGAAGGAAAATTGTGTTCCTAGTATTTCCCCCCCCTGATTCTCTAAATCCATGTTGTTTGTGAAAATATAAAAACAACATGTGCAAAAGCTGATTTTCACTATTTGAAGCTTTTTCCTTTCTGGCACTTAGTTATACTAACAATATCACTCCTAGATCTTTTATCACGCTAGTTGGTTATATTTTTGCAAGAGCTAAGAGGATATTAAGTTTTTAAATACACAAAGCATTACACTCAGATACACTTAGTATTTTTATAACAAAAATAATCACAGAAGACGCAGACCAGGAAAAAAATGTAATAAAAGGAAATTAGCTTTACAGATAGAAAGAGGTAAACATACTTTTTTTTTTTTTTTTTTTGCTTCTGGTAACTTTAACTTCCTTCGCCATTTTCAAAATGGGAATTATAACCAGGTTACTCATTATAAGAAAGGATAGGATTACAGAATGGAGTTTTCTTTGTCCTATCGTTAATACAATTGCATTTAACATGGTTATAAGGCCATATTTAATAAAACACTTTAGGCTACAACAGAAGAAATTCTTAATTCTTCCAACTCTAAAGCCATGTCAATGGTGTCAAGTTTTTCATCCATTTCTTTAACTTTTAGTAGTTACAGTAGAAACTTCATAGTTTTAAAGGACTAGCATTGCCAAATATGTAGCAGATGCTGCATGACACTATCATAAGGTATTATAGCTTGACACTCAGCATTATACCACGTGACAGGATTTTGGAAGTTATAAGGGTAAGATGTATACTGTTAAACAGCAGAGAGAACACCAAAGAACTCAGACGTTTGCAGCTGAAATTTATATGTCAATATCTGCAGAAACACCACAGATAAGTGTAGCTTATCCAAAATGTCGGTGGTCTTATCATAGTGATGTCAGCACCACAGGAAGTGTGGAAGTATGGATGAAGAAACAGGTTTTTATTTCAACAGAAGTAGAATTTAAAAGCCTTGTAGAGTCAGCTTCTCCTAACCTCCTCATTCCAAAAACTGTATAGCATTTAAGGCCTTTATAATAATTTAACCAACACTGTACAAAGCAACATTTTACATTTCCAAAATACTTATTACAAAGTGATCAAGAAAAACTATTTTTCCTTTCAAAGCCATGTGACCGGCAAGTCTCTTTAGAAATAAAGGTTAGGCTTCAAAAGCTGTATCAAGTTTATTTTCAACAATTTTTGCTCTATATTAACAGTGACACCTGCTGACCATTTCTTTTGGTTAGTCAGTTCTACTGAACTTGTCATGTCTCCACGCAGATATTAGGTGGCCCATGGAATTTGGAACTCCAGCCACTATCAGATCCTTTCTCTTCCAGTAGAGAACTTACTGAGTGGGGGAATATATTATATGCATATACAAAAAAATATTTATTTGTATATATAGTGTGTGTGCATACACACACACACTCTCTAGAATTGCTGTACATATTGTACTGCTTATATCTGCTGTAAGAAGTTTTCACCAGCTTCTGTGGCACAAGAAAAGAAGCGCTCTCTGCCATTTCTGGCATCTATTACACACATGGAAGTTAAGCGAGCATCTAGAGACTTGTAAACAAGCATGAAAAAAGTCTTGTGTATTGGAATGATTTTCACCATGATTACTGCCCAAGAAAAGAGGCCATGGGATCATCAGGTCTCTGACGTTTCATTCTATAGGCTTCCATTTCCTCCTCTGTTGGCTCCCTGGTTTCATATACGCTGTTATATGGTCTCTTCCTCTCATCTAACTGCATGATTTCTTTAACATGGAGTAGACGAGCCTCTTCTGCATTTAATGCCTGAAGTGGAAGCAAAAAAACCCCCCAGACAATTAGTTTGTATTAGGTTCTAGTACAGAGAACAAGCAGAAAGCAGAATGGTGGGACTCAGCGATGCACATCTCTCGGGCCCATCTAACGGGCACGCTTCATCTAACGCTTATTTTTGAGCATTTAACTTAAAATGAGCTAAGGTGATATTTAGCAAACAAGATATTTTAATCCCCTTCCAGTTGCCAAAAATCAAGTAAGAAACTCCTAGGTTTCACCTAAAATGTAACTCTGTTCCAGAAAGTACAGAAGCAGACAAGCAAGCATGTGATTTTACTGTTTTTCAGTCAGGGTGCAATGTTAAAAAATGCTCTTTGAGCATACAAACTGTCCCATTTCTCAAACTACTTGCTATTCAAAAGAAGTCATATTTCTACTGTGTTTTGGTAGGAATAACGTTAGTTTAACACTCTGGATATCCAGAGGTAGGCTGCTGTGCTTGCGTAGGGTTCCATTCAGCAAGACGCTGTGGATGGATTTATTGCATCGACTGCGAGACTGAGCCCGAGTCTGGGATAGAAAGTGTTAAGTCAAGCTTTGCTCTCTCCATCTTTCCTCAATAGCCAAATCCCTGTGTTCTGCAATGCCTTTTATTATAGATCTACAGCTGTAACAGGGGCCTAGGAAGGATTCTAAATCGTCTGAACTTAAATCTTCTAAACTAAATACTTATTGCATGTTTGCCTGAGGTCAAAGCCTGCATCAACACAGTACATGCGAACCGAAATGGGGAATAACAGCTATGTACCTTAGAACATCTAACAGCATTTTTAATTTACTTCAACTCAAAAGTAGCAGAGAACATCCCACAGAATACAAGAACCATACTGCGGTTTTCATAAAACAGACATTGTTCGAAAATGCGTTTGAAGAGTATACTGCACCTTTTTAAGTTTTTCTTGTTTCTTTTTCTCTTCACCCTCACTATCGGAATTTGAGCTCTTCTTGTGTTTCTTCTTCTTCTTGTCTTTCTGTTTTTCTTGGTGGATCTGTAAAGTGGAAAACAGCTGCAGTTAAGACTCGATTAGCAAACATTAGTAACGCTTAAGGCATTAAACCCTAAGTGTTTATCAAAGCTATTTCAGAGCTTAGTTTTGAATAAAGAAGAGATGTTAATGATCTAATAATGCAGTCTGATAATTTTCAGATTCATTCATTCAAACTACACAATTTGGTAGTTACTTTTCTTCAGTATTTTAAGAGATGGAAACATATATGCATCTCCTCCCTTAGAAAGGGAAACGGCCTACCTCCATCAGAGTTTTGGGTTTTGTCAGGTGTTCTTCGTCCCTGGGTTGGTCTTCCGGTAAGCTTGCTTCAGTATTCTATACAACAGACAATAGGAAGGATACTCGTTTACAAAGCATATTTCAAAATGGAAGGACAAGTAAAATTTTAGCTTCATTTATAAAATTTTAGCTTCATTCATTACTATTTTTTAAGTAGTATATAGATAGATGCTTTATAGCTGTTCCCGAGTGACTAAATTAAGCAATACTTACAGCAATTTCTTTCCCAGCTTCTCCTGTACAGTAAGAGAACTTGACAAACGAGTGGCAGCACTTGTAACCCCACTTGCCTTCTTTCCAGTATGAACCCCAAATGCACTGCAAGAGGAAACACCATAGCAGTTACACCCATAAAGATACTCCCATGAAAGGCAAGCTGCAACTTATTGCTGAGGTTTTTTCCTGATAAGGAGTAACCTATTCAAACAATTCAGAAGGGGAAGTTACGCAATTTTACACTAGTCTCATGGGTACGGTTTCAAAAAGAGAAGAACAACAGCATAGGGACAACTCATATTCAAGGCAAGAGGAAACAGAGCAATGAATCCCATTCAGTTTCTTTAAAGATCTCCATTGTTAACTCCTCAAATTCACACTACACCTATGAGAAGTTAAAATTCCTGCTCAGTGGAAAAGCGAGCGTGCAACACTTCAAAAAGAAGTGATTTATTTACTGTTTTAATTATACTGCACTGTCCCTACACCTCAATACCTCTTAAAGGGAAGAAATTTAATTTTTTAAATTTAAATTAGGTGCTTACTGTGTGGTTGTTGATCTTTACATCCTCTTCATATTTAGAGCAAGCAATGGCTTTCTCTTGTCCTTTGATGACTGTTCCATGCCTAGAATACTCCACGTAATCTTCTGTTTGAGCTAACAATAATTCAGGGGGTGGGGCATCTAGATGTTCTTGTCCGCCATACTGTAATGCAAACAGAATGACATACACAGTTTTGCAGAGAAAAAAAAAAAATCTTATATGCAGTTAAGCATAAGTTTCAAAAACTTCACCTTGAGTGTCTTCTCTATCTAGGCTATATGACCTCCAGATCAAAACGCTACAGAAGAGAAGTGGGTGGAGACAGTTTAATCTCCAGCCAATAGCTAGGGACAGAAGCACATCTACTGCGGCCATAGATTTTTTTCTGTCTGAAGGATTGTAATAGTGCTATTCCTCACTGCAGAGATCTTTCAGACCAGGAAAAGTCTTCAGAGCAAAACCAAGATTGGTTTTCTGATTTTTGAGCAACTGAGAAGTGCTTTGTTGAAAAGGTTAGAATCTGCATGGGTGATTTAGCTGTTATTCAGTTGTCCAAGAAAATGGTAACAAAATATAAAATAAATTTTTATTTAGAAGACTGCACCCAAAACCAGAGTCTGAAAATTCTGACTTTTGAAAGCTTTTCACACTTCTTAAGAGGAAAGAAATATTTAGAAATAGTTTTCAAAGACAGTCTTTAGAAAAGATGCTGCTTCTAAATAACATAAGTTTTTTTTAACCACTTTTATTATTTTTAAAATAAAATATCTAGATTCCCACTCCACCTACATACTGCTGTCAGATTTTTCAACAGAAAAATTCTGGCAGCTAAGAAAAGCCCTCCTGAGAATCCAGAGAAATCCTAGCAGATCTTCAAATACACTGTTCCTATATTACATAATTTACTGAATGCAATAGATTATAGACAGTTTATTATACATACGTACATACACATATATACATATATATCATAGAGCAGGTCAGAACAGCTGACATGTTTTGACATAGCATTACTAATGTCATTTGTTCCGCAAGACCAAAACTCAACAGAATCTTTCTTAAATAAAACCAAACGTCTATTACCTTCTCTAGAATGCTTTCTTTCTGCTGCGCCTTGAAATCTTCTTTTTTCACTTTGAAGGACTTATAAAGTAGCTCTAATTTTGTAGGGTCTGCTTGAAGATGAACTTCAGAGCCTTTGTCATAAGCCTCCCAAGCAAACACTGCGTACACAAGAGGTGTCACTCAATATTTACTCTAACTGACGTGTGTATTCAAATTATCACCTCTAGTTTTGTGATAATTTTTAAAAACCTGAATCTAAAATTACAAGGATTTTTTTCTCCTTTTCAAAAAAAAGCAGTATTGTTAACTTAAACATGTTTCATTCCCTTGAAAAAAAAAAAAACAAACTTACACTGAGTCTGTGCCATTGAAATAGTATCTCCAGTGTAACGGACAAAGTTGTCACCTGCATAACCAACTCTGCAGAAAAAAAACAATATGATATTTAGCCTGCACGTAATGCATCATTTCCATACTTATGCCTTTTAAAACACACTCACAGAACACCAACAGGAAAGTATAAACTCTCCTTTGTGCCCTGATAGTTAAGATGAAGGGAGAGGAAGCAGCATTCAACTCAGTATTTGAATTAAAAGTCTAAGCTCTCAAAGTCATAAAAGCATTAGATACCAACCCAGAACGCTTGATGCCTATGTTTATATGGATATGTTTTAAAATGCAGAATGGGAGCTCTGTCTGGGCATGGGATACCAAGCACCATGAAGCCAAGCTTCAACCTAATTGCACAATAAATACATATGAATGGCAAGTGATATTCTAGCACAGTGATTTTCAGGTTTTGGATTTGTAGATCCCTTCTCCCTCCCACCAGGTACTGTAGCGAGTTAAAGCCTGATAATAGCTTTGCTTTCTTCAGTTACCTTTTGCACATCCCTTTGAAATGATTCACAAAGAGTATATGAACCACAGGTTGAAAATCAAATACTGTTAACAGTCCAGTTTCCCCCTCTTTTCATCTCCACAAAAACCACTCTGAAAAATTCACGATCTGCAATGCTGTTGCAAAAACATGGATTCGACAAAGGTCAAATTATGACTCTAGAGAGAAGTGAAAGCTCCTGCATCCGAAATAAAATGGACTGACTGGCATTATTCTAGCTGGGGGCAAGGAGAGGTGGAAAGAGCCTTATTTGCCAGTATTTAACCACTGCCATTCTATTTTAGACAGCAAGCTAATCCAGTTACTGTACTCTGAATAAATGTTTCTAGTCACAGCTTGTCTACTCTGTATGTCTGCTGCACTACATGGGTCAAGGCTGGGTCACAGCTCAAGTGCTTGACTTGGGTTTTTAAGCAAGACAGTCTTGTGTGTAGCCAAAAGCCAGCTTAAGGCATTCTTTTTTAATCAAGTCGTCCATCTAAACAAAGCCAAAACTTTCAGATCTTTAGTACGCAGACCCCATTAATAGACGGGGAACGTTTGCTCCGGATTCAGGCATTTAGTTAGACACCACAGATACTCCACGCTAGGTATCCACTGCTGAATGCCTCTCAACAAGTAAGGGATGAAGTTTTAGATTCAGTTACTGAAATACTTTTCATAAACATCATTTTTGCTTATAGGTATCATCTCTAGATACAGTAGACTGTTCTTATCCTTGTTCCATACACACATCAGCACACCAAGTGGTGGTCCTCGTGTCCCTGAGGATCATTAAAATACTACTTTAAACACTAAAACAAAACAGAAAATGCTGGTAACAACAATTTTTTCATGTTTACCATACAGTATTACTGAAAGACTTTTCTATCCATAATGGACTAGGGATTCATTAATAAAGATACACAGCTATGCAAGGAAATACAAAATTACTAAAGTAACCTCATTTTTTAAATAGAGTTTTGTTGGATACTTGACCGTTTCTCTGTTTTAACTTACTCGTCTGGATTCTTGCCTGTATTGGCATATGGGTTCTCCCTCATTGCTCTTGTTTTGGGATCATAATAAGCAGAGTTTGGATCTAGATTCCTGAGGTACTAGGGGAAGAAAACAACATACAAGATATTTGATTAAAAATTTATGATTTTAATAGAACCGAAATTAGTACTGTAACCCCCAACTTAGACACTTTAAAATGGAAAAATCTGTGCAAGGGGATGACCTTTGAGAAATCATAACACGCGTAGCAGTAGAACTGAGAATACACCTTAATCTCTAAACACCAAATTCATTAATAATAGTGCAATTTTTGAAATATGTATATAAAAGATCAGTAATAGAACTCTATACTCACTTTTGCAATATCTTCACGAATACGTAAATTTCGAACTGTGATACGTCTTTTAGAGTCAAAGTTCTGTCCAGGCATATCAATGTCATCTGCATATTTATCTTCATCTTCATCTTCACTGTTATGATCTCTTTCCTGAGGAGAGAGAGAGGAAACTTCTATCTAAAACGAACATTCAGAGATAGGAAACTTCTACATAAAAATGAGCATTCACTCTAGAAACAAGAATCTGATTTTAGTGGTTTGATTAAAAATTCTGCAGACCCTGTAGTTAAAAGTTAGTATCATTTATTTGGGCTTAAGTATGCTAATCTATCATGCAGTTATATTCCACAGTTCAGAAATACCCTTGTTACTGTTATTTGCACTGTGGAAAGAGTTACAAAAACACAACTATGATGATGTTAAGACAACAGTTATATTGATCAAAATATACAACATGTTAAAAACTAGTTATTCTCTTGCACCTCTAAGGTTTGACAACACACAGGAGTTATTAGCTATGAAATCCAGCACCCTCTGCCCAAAAAAAAGGGCAGCATGAAGCCAGTATTGAAACTCTCCTGCCACCCCTGTTTCACTGCTTCACTAACTACAGATTTTTTTCTTCCCCCATGGTGTGATGCAGTGGATAATCATCTTACTGTCTGTGAATTTGGTTCCTCTTCTCCCCATTGGTGTCTCGGGGAGTTCTGCAGCAAACAAAAAGCACATCAGCAGAGAACACAAGATAATGGAGAGAAGGAAGAAGGCAGGGAGATAAAGAACAACCAAAGCAGAGCTTATTCCTATGGCCTAGACTTACTGGAAGCAAAAATACAGTAACTGGGTCACAAAACACACAAAGACCACTCCCATCTAAACGTTTTAAGACAGAGAGCTTGTAAGCGGATCTACTGCAGAAACATGTTGGAGACCTTTTTACTGTATTCCCAACTGAATTTCCAAGCCCTTGCAAGAGTGGTAAATTCCAGAACTATCACTACTATATAAAGTCTGTTATTCTAGTCTAAAACATTAATGTTCAAAAGCATAACTCATAGCACGTCAAAAAAATATGACTCAACTCTGAAACCCTCAAACCCCCCAAACTATACGTTAACAAATATATATGTGATATTTAATTAAGAATGATGGGAATACAGAGCATAAATCAGGAGCCATAACCTCATCTGGAGAAATATAGCCAAACTTTTCCTTTTTTTTTTTTTGAATCTGTTTAGCCTCTAACGTGAGAATCCTTGGGGAAGTAAAGACTGAAACAAGAGTGCTGGTCTTCAAGGACTTCAGTTATGAGAAGAGGCACCAGTCTTGCTTCTCTGTTTATCAGAAATGGTTCTTTATGTTTCAAATATACTTTTCTTCTACCAGTTCTATTTTGTAAGGAATAAATATACGGAGGCTAAAAATCTTGCTCTATGGTGGCAAAAAGAATAAGAACCTTATCCACCTGGAAAGAAGTTCAGGCTTACTATGTATTTTGTGTTGGGTTGGAGATTAAGTTTACTCTGCCATCTAGTGACAAAATGCAAGGTGACAACATATGGAAAATGGAGGCCCAATTGTACGTACTCTATTGGTTAGTGTGTTTTTTCTTACAGTATAATATTTTGATTAAGAAAACCCCTCAAAATACTTCTCACCAGTAATGATCTCTACTCCCCCTCGTTTTATAAACCTAGAAAATTATCACAAATACCTCTTAAATTAGAATTTTATATTAAAGATTATCAGAAGCCTTGACTAGATAATCCAAGAGGAGCTTGCAGAAGTTAGTGGAAGATGCAAACTCTGTGGAGTTGCAAGCAAGAAGCTTGCATATCCTCAGCCTTCAAATAACCAAAGACACTGCAAAGAGTGAATCAATAACTGAGGAAGATACAAGTTTGGTTCTAAGGAAAAGAAAATGCCTTCCTATTCCTATTTATATGAAGCATTAATCAAGCAACCCATAGTCACATAATGGTCATAACCACATTAGTCAGACATAACAATCTTTACATTAAAACTCTAATTTTAGTGCGTGAACAAAATTACTACATGGGAAATTATTTTTTTCTGACCCACAATTCCATATCATTCATTTTAGCAAGAAATACTAATTGCCAGAACTGAAGCAGGAAAGTCTTGCCTATGAGGGGAAAAACAAAGGCACTTTCATTTGAAAAAAGGTATTTTGCATTCACGTAAACAACACAGAGTATGGATGCATTACGAAGCACTGAAGCATTACTTCAATGCTTCAGGCAGGTCATGTTACTGAAGGGCACGGAAAGCAATAGGAAACTCAGTCTGCAGAGTAAGAGCATCAGAGAGCAAAAGCGACCTTTTTATCTTTATTCAGCCTAAACAAAAATGAATTAGGGTTTAGTTTCCTTACCACTTGCTCCAGCTTTCCTGATGCTAACTCCTCCTGAAGCTTCTGGGCTTTCAGCGTACGTTTGGCCTGCATATCATTAAAATGCACTTGTTTTAATACTTTCTTTCAATCCCAAGTGTGTAATAAGACTCATCACAAGCACCTCTTACGACCACTATCGTTTTAACAAGTATTAATTATTACAAAACGTGGGCTGCGAATTCTCTGGGTGCTTGTCAAAAAACAGCAGCCCAGCTTGCCTACCCTACTCTTACATTTACCATGTTATATTTTTTCAGATCAAGGAAAGGAAATGTGTATATACTAACCATTTTGCTGTTTCATATTATTCTGTTAAAGAGTTTATTAGAGACTACGCGGCTATACTATCCCTACGTACTTCCTAAAAATACTCCCTAACCATCAATTTTTAGATTAAGAAAAAGCTCAAAGCATTTCAATAGAGTTTAAGAACAAACATATTTTATTATTGTGTCCTTTTATGCTGAATCTAGTTAAGAACTTCAATGCTTGAGGTAGGTCATGATTTATACTGCAAGCATTTATGGTTCATCCAGGAAATACTGAAGTCTAAAGTGAGACTCTGAAGCAGCCACGTAGTGAAATTTTGTATGTTTGACATCACAGAACCATAGAATGGCTGAGACTGGAAAGGACCTCTGGAGATCCTCTAGTCCAACCACCCTGCTCAAAGCCGGGTCGGCTACAGCAGTTTGCTCAGGACCGTGTGCAGCTGGGTTTTGAATATCAACAAGGGTGGAGACTCCACAACCTCGCTGGGCAACTCATTCAAGTTCAATCACTCTTACAGTGAAAGCAAGCTTTTTCTTATGTTTAAATGGAATTTCTTGCCCTTCAGTTTCAACTCAGCGACTCCTGTCCTGTCCCTGGACGCCACTGAGAAGAGTCTGGCTCTGTCTTCTTAATATTCTCTCATCACACATTAATACACATATACAAAAATCACATCACTAACATCCAGAATACCTTCATCTAGCATTAGCTTTCCTGTGCACTATAGGGAAAAACTCAAATCCTCAGATCAGGCCCACAAAGGCACTTAGGTATCTAACTGCCTTTTGGAACAGGCCTACCATCCAGCCAAGGTGGTGAACTACTTTTTTAATATGAAGTTAACAGTATCCACATGGATTTGGTACATACAGCTAGAAAATTACTGCAACAGTTAGGTGCTGATCTGCACAGAGACATTTACAGTTAGTCCACTGCTCTATGATAGTAACAAAAGGGACTCACAAGTAACAAAAACACGAATGAAGTTTAAGAAATGAATATAGATGTTAGCTCTGATCATTATAGCCAGCCTATAAATTCCTTTCTGTAATTCAATCTTCATTTTGGGTAATGAATTCTAGGGCTGGCCTAGTAAAAGACAGACAATTTGAAGAGAGAACTCATTTATTGTGCAGACCCATTTTCAGTTGCCAGTTCTGATCTGAGTTCCCAGCTCAGTCTAAGTTGGTTATCAAACACAGACTCCATCTCTGTTTTTCATTATGAATACAGCACAAGATCTAGTATCAGAGCGCACAGAGCACACGTGCCTCCCCTTATCCCCAGCCAAACACAGAATTTTTCCCCAGTAAATTATAGCACCTACATACCAAGTCAACTTTGGAATATTCCTCTACAATCTTCATGTGCTCTTCTGGGTTATAACCATTCCAACGATCTCGTTTTCCATCATAATCAAACATCAGCTGAGGCTGCACATGTTCATCTGGTGCAATGTTCATGCCGGTGTATTTTGCTCCAACTTTCCTGGGTCTCTGAAAGAAAAAGAAATGGTTGGATCAGTTCATTAGACTGAAGTATATTATTCACTTTAAAAATATGGTATCAATTAAGCTGCTCTAAAGCTGATTTAATCCAGCACTAGAAACGAATCGTAAGTAAAAGTAAGTAGTTCATTTCTAGATTTTTATAGTAATGCAACTGTCTAAAACCTATCAATTTACTGCAGCCCCACATAACCCTATCTTCCACAGTTAAGAAAGGAATTAAATTACAATTCCTGGAAAGTGTTCTTAACTGACATGCAACCGAAAAGGTTAGCCTCAGCAGCACTTGAGTAAAAACGAATTAATGCAAAAAATTAAATGATAAACCTTTTCACCTATTATTGCAGCTCTTTTCATATACAGTTGATAGGCAACATCCTGAATGGTTTTTTTTTCCCCCCTACCTAAAGGTTACTTTAGAAATTTTCAAGCAACGCTTCAATATTTGAGAAACTAGTAACGTTCTTGTTATTTATAACCAGCTATTTTCCACTAGAGAAGAATTTGCATTGTTTTCAAAAACATTAAAACATCAAAGGTCAAATTTACCTCCATGCAGTCTTTCTTTTTGTGTGTCAATGCACCACAGTTCTCACAAGCTCCTTTACGATATTTCGTTGCTACAGCATGCTAAACAAAAACAACAAAAAACAGCATTGTACAAGCTTCCACCAAGATTCATAGACGCATTCCTAATAACTACCTCATTTTTTCAATGCAAGCAAAGTATTCATGCTCTCCACAAAGCCATAACACATCTCAGTTATCACTAAACACTGTGAAACGTCTGCTGAGGAAGAATTCCCGGCTCCTGTCGTCTTTAAAACATGTAACCAGAAAACACAGAAAATTATAGGAACCAACGTTTCTATTCTTCCTTTCTCACAGAATCAAATCTTATCTTTACAACCAAAATATTTTGCATACCTCTTGAACTCCTCGTTTGTACCAATCTCCAGAGGAGCTATACTGTTTCTGCTTCTCTGGCTGAGGTCTCTGGTGCTTTAGAGTGGGTCTTTTAGAAGGATCTATGTACCATGGCACTGAAGATATGTACTGAGGAATGTGAGGATTGATATCTCTGTAAAAGATATCACGTAATAAATACATGGCAGGGGAAAAGAATAGCAACTTAACCTAATGCATAACTCTCACCTTCAACTTCAGCGTTTTAGGGCTGATCGTAAAATAACCACCCAAATTGTTACAATGCTTTCTAAGTTTGTATAATAAATAAAGACTTTTTTTGATGTTCTGTCTTTATAACAGAAGACTTATCTTATAACAAAAATAGTAATATCCCTTCTCATCACAGACAATAACAGGTGCAATAAGACGGTGAAGAGCCTTGCAGAAACCACAGAGAGAAGGAAAGAAATTGATAAGATGCACAGTTAAGTTCCCCAGCACTACCTTTTGCTCTCTTTTAAAATACCACTTGTAAAGATCTGCACAGGGCAGGGCTTTTTAGCAGCATCCCAACAGATCAGACCAACGCTGAACATACGTTATTCTTTTGCAAAAACAAAAATCTATACATCTGAAGAAGGCTGGAACGTTAAAAGTAAATTCACAAAGTACAATAATTCAGTTCCGCGTTCACCTTTTGTGCTGTCCCTCACGATTTTGTAATCGCAATAAGCAAAATACCTAGTTTTAAACCCTATTACTTTAGAATGACCGTAGCTTTAACAAAACTTACTTTCCTTCTTCATCCACTTCCGCAGGCGCGTTTCCCAGTTTTCTCTGTTCTTCCAACTCCTTCTTTTTCCTCCAGTCTTCCCTTGTCATCTTCTTTGGTTCCTCCAGGCTAACATCACTTGATCCTCCCGAAGGAGTCGCGTTAATTACTGTCCCAGACGCCATTATATCTCTCTCTGTAACAAAAGATCAGTAAATGTGTTCATCCAGGCGCACCGAGCAGCACCTCGCCGGGGCCGGGCCGGGGCCCACCGCCCTGCGAGGGCCCGGGAACCTCCCCAGGCCCAAAGCGGCCGCCCGCAGAGAAAGGAGCCTGCCCAGCACGGTGACCCCTCCGCCCCCG